TTTAGACTACTGTGGCTCTTCAAGTGGTGGGCTAAGCAACTGTGAGATTATTGCAACCATCAACATTCACCCTCTCAACACTCCCTCCTTTTCTTTTTTTTAACTGTTATTTATATATTTACTACTTCTTATATAGTGCTCTTATCCAGAGTACTTTACAAAATTAGGCAATTACTCATAGGTTAGATTACAGACAGAGAGATATATAATTAGACATTGTGAAACAAAACGAGTAGATACACTTGCCTGTGGGCTTTAATCCAATATTTATATCAGTTTCATACAAAGCGAGTTTTTACAGTGAGCATACTATTTAAAAGGATGGTATGCAATGAGACAAGAGACGTCGGGGAGGAAAATACAGTTTTATAAAATAATAATGGGCATCACTAAAAGTCTGGTAAGGGGAACTAGCTAGCAGATAATTAGAGTTGATTTTAAATATATGAAAAATCATGTGTATAAATTAACCAGGACAAAGCATGGGTGGGCAATTGTATAATGTAAAAATATTTTTGTGGAGGTACCTGGGGTGCATCGGGTAAAAGATAAATGCAGCCTATTTTAATCAATATGTTGTTTGCACTAAAAACTTTTTTTCTTTTAAAGCAGGAGGGGAACAAAGAAAAGGATGGGGGGAGTAAATATCTTTCCATTTCCTGTTCTATCATTCTTCCCATTCCTTATACTTATTATTCATTGTTCCATGTGTAAACTGTAATTTGAATAACTCTACCATAAGATCTTATTGGTATTATTAATGCCAGTAGTAGGGGATTAGCGGCAGTAGTAGAGGGTTAGGGCCAATATTGTGGGTTTAGGGGCAGTAGTGGGTGGTTAGGGGCAAGAGTAGGGGATTAGGGGCAGATGTGGGTGCTTAGGGGCAATAGTAGGGGATTAGGTTAGGGGCAATAGCAGGTGGGTAGGGGCAGTAGTGGGTGATTAGGAGCAATAGTAGGGATTTAGGGGCAGTAGTGGGTGATTAGGGGCAATAGGGGATTAGGAGCAGTAGTGGGTGGTTAGGGGCAATAGGAGGGGGTTATGGGCAGTAGAGGGTGGTTAGGGGTAATAGTAGGGGTTAGGGACAGAAGTGGGTGGTAAGGGGCAATAGTAGGGGGTTAAAGGTACTAGTGGAGGTTAGGACTATAGGGGACTAAAAATGGGCTAAGGGGAATGTTAAAAAATAACATATATATATATGTATAATATATAATCTCCTTCATGCCATGCGCCAACACTGCTGTTGAAGCCCTCGGACAAGCAATGCATGAAGCCAAACGTGCTCCTTAGGCCAGCACCTACTTCTCCTATAGGTGGCACCAGCCCTGACTCCAGCCAAAATCAACATTCATAAAACACTGGTTTTGGTTAAAGTAACCTTTTCTGAAGTGGTCAACCCCCAAAAATGCTAAAAAAAACAACAAAGATCTCTCTGCAGCACTAGCCTCTTGCCTGGAATCTCTAACCCTCACAAGAAGGGGTGGGAGGGCAGGCTGAGAGGATACAGGGGCAGTGCAGAGGGTGGGCCGTGTTGCCATTGGTGTCAGATGTCAATTTTGCACAGAGTTGACATTATCCAGCCCAAAACTTTGTTACACCTCCAGCAGCTAAGCGGCTAATTTCATTTCAAAGCGAAACACTGCACATGCAGATTACAGGCACCATGACAACTTCAAACCAATAAAGTAGTCATGGTGCCTGGAGTGACCCATTAAGGACCAGTGTATTTCATGGACTATTTCATTAAATCACATTACTCTTTTCATCTACTGTTAAAGGGATGCTTTAGGCACCAAAACAACTTAATGAAGCAGTATTTATGTATAGATCATGACCCAGCCAGTATTAATTTTGGTAGCAAATTTCAATTTAGTTTTAGTCATAGTGTTTTGACTAAAAAAGCCATTTAGTCATCTGAATTATTTTAGTTTTAGTCTAGTTTTAGTCTACTAAATCTCCAGTATATTTTAGTCGAATAAATTTCCAATAGATATTAGTCGACAAGACTAAAATCTAATGGGTTTAGTCAAAGCCTCTGTCTCTTTTTTACCCTTCCCCAGCCCCTCTGTGTCTTTTTGTGTCCTCCCAGCCACTCTAGGTGTCTCTCTCTCCAGCCCTGGTCAGTCTCCTTTGACCCCTCCACAGCCACTCTGTACAGTGTTAATTTTAGCTGCAAATTTTTAGTTTAGCCATTTTATTTTTACTCTTATTTTATTCATCTAAATTGTTTTAGTCGACTATGTCTCAAAAATGTTAGTCAACTAAAATTTGAGGAAAATTGTTAGTCGAGAAAATTAATACTGGACCCAGCAGTCTTACTGCTCAATTCTCTGTCGTTTAGAAGTTAAATCCCTTTTGTTTCTGGTTATAGAGCCCTAGCCACATCTCTCCTGGCTATGATTGACAAAACGTGCATGAAAAAAATGGTTTTAAATCTTACTTAACTACCTTAGAACTGGGAAAACCAGGTTTGAAAGCCAGTCAGACAATGTCACTGTAAGTATCCTTTGACAAGACACCTGTCAAATATCCATCGAACTCAAAAATTCTTATAGATTGTAAGCTTGTTTGAGCAAGACCTTCTTCAACTCTAAATATTGCCATTCTATAATTGTACAGTGCTGCAGAATATGCTGGCGCTATATGAATGTGAAAAATAATAATAATATCCTTGCCTGCAATTTAGCTCTTGGATTTTGACAACTGCTGACATTAGCATATACTACCAGCCATTACTAAGGGAATTATGTCCTTGAATGGCAGTATTTAAATAATTGGAACACTGGATTGCATGGTAAGGAACCTAAATGTGTCATGCAATCTGGTGGCAAGACCAATGGAATTCCCGTAGGATTGGATTATCTTCGCATGTATCTCTGCTGCCTTTGTGTCATGATCTTGAGCTGGCTGGAACTCACAGCTCTCATACTGCTCATGAATAAAAGATGAACAAAAGAATAAAAGGATTGTCATGTACATATATATATCTATAAATATAAATACCTGGGGAGTATACATACATACATACCAATAGAGTTGTGGTGGGGAAAAAAGTGTGGATGAAAACCCATTCCACCTGAAGTAAGTGGATAGTTAATACATTGCTAAACACAAAAACACACACCAGTAAAGCCATAAGACTTGCTTTTCCCACAGAAATCTCACTTTAACAGTGCTCTCACTACTGCAAGGGATTCTGGGTAGGCGTATGCAAATGAACTCAACAAAGAACCACATTTTTGGCCTCATAATTCCACTTTACATGGATTCCTTGGAGTATGTGTCTGCTGTATACAACAGCTTTGAAACAACTCAGGAAAAGGAGCAAAGCCAGTGAACCACTCATGGACAGCTGTTTCGTTGTTAACCCCTTAAGGACTGAGCCAAACAAACATGTTTTGATCAAAATAAAACATAAACAAAACTTGGAATTTGACTATATGTCTGTTCAACCATAATTCACCTCTTTCATATTAAGTGCACCCATACTTATTATAAATCATTTTATTCAGGAGAAATATGGCTTTAATTTAACATCAAATATATGGCTATGAAACATAATGTATTATGAATAAAATATTTTTAAAAAATTAGAAATTAAGAAATCTTTTTATTTTTTTAGTTCTGCATGATATTTTAACTGTCAATGTCATAATGCTGTTTGCTTTTACTGCAATAAAATACACATATTTGCATTCAGCGATGTCTCACGTGTAAAACAGTACCCAGTATGTACAGGTTTTATGGCGTTTTGGGAAGTTACAGGGTCAAATATAGCATGTTACATTTTCCAGTTTTTTTCACATTAAAATTTGCCAGATTGGGGTATGTCCTGTCTTTTCTTTTGGTGGCAAAAATACAAATAGATGCAGGGTTTTTTTTTTACTAAAGTGAGGATTGTCAGGAATTCAAAGTGAATTTTCATATTTATCAGAAGTGAGAGTGAGAAGTTCTAAATATCAGAGGAGGAAGTTGTGTTATTACACAGTGTCCTTCACTAAAGTAATAATTCAAAGTAAATTTCAAATTTACAGTTAAAATAGCTAAACTGGAAAAATCTCTAACTCCGCTATTTGGCAACTTTGGATTTAAATTTTTAATTCACTTTGAATTCTCACTTTAGTTAGTGTATTGAATGAAGGTGTACTGGTCATCCACACAATTTATGGGTTAGATGTTCTCTACAAGGCCATTAGGGGGAGATAGAGATTATATTTTTGGGGCTCGTCTACCTGGGGAGCATAGTCTAGCTAGCACACTACCTGACAGTGTGAGGATTGACACTATTGTTATCAGGGGGGTTTACATCCTCCTGGAGGAAAAGAGCCCATATATTGGTCAGGAAATAGGGAAATCCATTGAGTGGGGAGAACATGTAACTCCACTCTTAGTAATTTTGGGGACCCCCAAATTAGTTACTGGCCCATTTCATGCTGTGAGGAAACAAGAAGGATCATTGCACCTTTCTCATATTAACAGGAGGGGAACACTCACACAGTTTTATACAAATAGCCAGTCTGTGTCACACGTGCAACTTACCTGAGGGACGTTCATTTTAATGGAAAAAAAGAAAACCCACACGAAATTCTGCAGTAATTTAATTCACATAGTTGATTTTTTCTTTTTTTTTTACCACTTAGTTAATATTACGATATATAATCACAGAACCCATCTACAATTGCCCCCTCCCCCATTTTGTGACACCTGACAGACAGCTTGCCATATGCCTTATCTGTCATGTAGAACAGTATGTTCAATTCCATCTTCCCTGTGTTTAGCGCTGAGAGTCACACAGGAGCTCAGCTGCACCCCTGCTCTCCCAGTCTCCCTAATTAGCTACACCTAGAGGGAGTGAGGCACAGACCGAGCTGCAGGCGTGGGCAGGCAGAGCAGTCCCTGGCCGGCCCTCCTCCATGTGGGAGGCTGCTGCTGCTGTTACTGCTGGAAGCAGGTGGGATCCGCTCCGTGCTTCTGGCTGCTGCAAGTCCGGGGATCACTTTCCACACACTCCGGCAGGGATCGCAGGGGAGATCGGAGACCCAGGTGAAGATCCCATTAACCCTGAGGGCTATGGCAGCAGTGTAGGACTAGATCCCAGGGTATTAAAGCCTCTCACGCCTCCCTGATCCCTCCTTATATACAGCCTACCATGAGGACTTAAATAGCAGCTGAAGAGAGAACCCACAGCCGCACGCATGAAGTCCTGATCCACCCCACTGAGGGAGAACACCCCACACCGCTAGCTGGTACTACGCTACTGACACGGCGCAGACATGGGGTAAGTAACACTTATCTTCTGATCAGACCCCCTCAAGTGTATTTTCTTCTAAGGTATTAACCCAGTGTTTGAACATCACTGTTACTGTAAATAGACTAACCCTCAACGTTCTTCTATGGAACGCAATGGGTTACATTGAACATTCCATTCACAGTCCCCGATCAGAGCCACACACACACACACACACTCTATGGAGCCAGGAGAAGTTTTCCAGCTGATGCACACTTTCAGCTATACCCTGCCAGACATCGAGTGCCAGGCAACTTGGGCAGAGGACAGAATGCTTTGATGCTGGACTAGTCAATGCTAGAGGGTCAAGTACTATATTCGTTTTGCAAACCTTGCCATGGACTTACACTATTTGTAATCTCCCCTTTACACACCCCAATGAAGGTCTCCCTAATAGTCTCCTTTTGTTGTTCTATCACATTACTCTACATGTTTTATTCATTACCGATCACCCACAGATAATTGGTATCTTATTCCAGCTAATAGACTTCATCAGTAGAACAGTGATGACATACACTGGAGGAGTGTGTGTTGGACTACATGGAAAAACCTGGAATTTTTTGATTCTTTGAGAAATGCTAATCCAATGGATAACTTAATATTTGAAGTGCTGTTTTGGTATTGTTGTTCTGTGGGAGTTGCTTAGTCAGTTGAATTAATCTATTCTTGCTCCATGTTAGTACATATATTCTAGTATAATTTAACATTTTTGTTTCCTAATATTCTGGCCACACATTTGTGTGCCATCCACACTATTCTTCCTCAATTCAAATGTTTTCTGTGAAATGTAGAATATTTATTAGATGGAAAAAAACTCAGTATGCTTATTTTATTAAATATGCTCTATAGTAATAGATGAATCACCCCAAAGTTGGTACTGTAATATCTGATTTTTCTGATCAAGCTCTAAGGAGAGCCTAAGTAATCCCATACTAAATGCCCTTTCAGGAGATAAGTTGGGGCATCCATACTAGTATCTAAGTTTATCAGGTGCCTATTGGGTTAGAATGTAAAATAATTAATTGGATCACCCCATTCCTTCTAACTGCCAAATGGTACCCACTCAGGAACTGAAATTGGCATATGCACATCCAATGTTATTACTTAAGATAACAACATGTTCGTTTAAAAAAAAAAAAAAAAATTTAATCAATGTGTTCAAGAACACACAATTACAAATGGATTATATTTTGAAAGGCCAAATAGGCGTTACCTTATGTCTGGAGTCTGCAGCTCTCTCTCAGGCTGAGGATGATAGGAAATATTGTCCATAAGAACTGGTTGCCTGATGTTCGAATCATGCTCCCCAATACCCTACTTTTATTATTTGAAGTGGGATTTAAAGTGGATCAATTTGCTCCATGTGAAATATTAACTGTATAAACAAACACTTGGGTGGTACAAATTGAAATCATGTAGCACATAGTTTTGCAAAAGGTATCCATGTTTATAGAAAGACATGACAAGGGATTCAAGATCCAATATAATCCCTACTCCATGACCACACCTCCGCTTTCATGTTGCAAGCCTTTCATTAGTGAAAGTGTCAGATGGGCTTTGCATTACTTAGGACTATCCTACCTTCTGTTCTTCTTAGTCTTTGGAAAACAATGAGTTTACATTTCTCGGTGTGTTACAAAGAAATAGTATCAAAAATAAAAAGAACAAAGAAATATACATACCTTGCATATATCCCTTGGCACACTGCTTAACTGGGCTGTTTGCAGTGGCAGGCAGAACCCTCCCACACCAGGATGAGATCCTCCAGTCAGGATTGTTTCATTTTATTTTGCGGGGACTTTTATTCCCCTATAAACTCTCTTCTGGCAGGAGTTTATGGGATAAGTAGTTTAGTTTATCCGCAAATAGGAGTTCCAGGCGATGTTTTATTATTGGCAGAGCTACTGGCCAAACATGTGATGTACGTGACTTTGCCCTCCCCATGGAGTAGAAAGTCTTTAATATTGTGCATGCTGTGTGTGCATGTCACATGCTCAAGAGGAACATTTTTGTAGACCTATCAGATCGAAGTGTTCATGTTGCCTGATTTACCGCCCTGGTAGACTATCAGCCCCTCTCAGACATGAGTAGGCTCAGGGTTCTCTAAACGTTATGCACTTTGCAGTAATAATAGTGCTCAGACTTGCTCTTTAAGTCTCCTCTGAGTGACATTTCTTTTCAATAAGAATTTATTCCTCCACTTTGATAAAATCCCTCTCCCAAGAAGAACCTTTTAGATTTGTTTAGTTTCAACGTATCCCCTTTTTAACAGTGAATATTTGCTTTATATTCACTTGTTATTTAAATTAATAAAGGAGCTTGAATATATTGGGAAAATCCTTATGGTGGGACCCATGTTTCACAGACTGACCATGCCATTGTCTAGATCAGTGGATTCCAAACCAGTCCTCAAGGCACACCTACCAGTCCAGGATTTAGGGATTACCAAGTTGTAAAGGTCTTTTTATTTTTGTTTGTTTCCTTTCTTTCTTTCTAAAAACACCTTAGACACAAAAGGGTAATCGCTAAATCCTGGACTGGTAGGCCTGCCTTAAGAACTGGTTTGGAAACCACTGGTCTAAATTCTAGTAAAAGAGAAAAAGCCAGGGCACACCGGGCCGTCTTATTATACAAGGTACAGCAATGTTTCATTGCCTTTATCTAGCCTATTGTATATCTATGTGTCACATATATAGTATTAACATGACAATGTTCTGCTTGGTGTCGACTCCGATTTTAGAGTCTGTCTATGCACCTGGTCCCTCTCACCAAGTAAGCACTTTTATCATTTAATTAATCAATTGTTTATATATGTACTTTTACGTGTGTGTGTGTATAAATGCATACACACTCTAGTTAAAGTACATATATAATATAAACAATTGATTTAATGTAACGGAGCTCCAGTACTCCAACCGAGTACCTCCGTTGATGGATGCTCCCGAGGGCTCCAAGCACTTCTCCAGACACCATAAGCACTGCAGACCGAACTTCTGTTCCTGCAGAGAGTGAAGCTGGAACAAGCTCTTAAAAGAGCTTAGTGATTATAGCTAGGGGAGTATGTAGAGTATTGCAATCTCCCAGTGTAGATACAGCCGTATCCCCCAATCATGAGACGAGGCTCCATGTTGAGGGTCAAAACAGGAACAGACAGAGCTGTGGTTTTATTGTTTCTTATATACACATTTTTACACAATGTTACCACCCACAGGGTTTTGTAGAACAGCCAATCAAACACGTATAATACAGTTAAACACTCCCATTCATTCCCACAAAATCCTCCCCTCTGCCTGTGATATAATTACTGTACACAATGGGTTAATGTAATTATCACAGGCAGGAAAAATATACTTTTTACACATTTACTATAACTTTAAAACTATACATCCAATCTCCATAAAAAGCACACATATTATTACTCAGCATACTTCAAATACAAACATACTCAAAATTCAGGCAATTCCCTCCAGGGGTTAAAACGTTAGTCAGAAGTCCTTTGTGTCCGACCACAAGCATACTTTCCTGCCCAAAATGGTTCCATAGATTTGGGCTGTGCGGTCGGTCAATTTTATGCAGAAAATTAACTAAGTCCCATTCGAATGCACGAATGGTGCAAATAGCCAAGTATAGCTGTGTGTTCAAATAGCCAAACGGGACTTTGTTTTCAGCCGAAGCGTCGAAGTGGAGGAGAAGGGTAAGGGTCAGCGGTGTTCGTGCAAATGTGTAGCCGATTTAAGTTCCATGGATTTGGCTGAACACACTGCTGACCGTGTTCGACTGAATAAAGATGGCCGCCGCCACGTGTTCGTCTATACGAACGGCGGCCACCCAGCGGTCGGCAATTAACCTACAGCAACGCCTCAGCCTAGAAAGTAAATTAGCTGCACACTTCCACTTCTGTGTGGTCCGCCTGTGTAATACTTGATTCAGTAAGCCCCATTTACCGAACCAAGTGGGAAGAAGCCATGAATAAAATATTTTAAGGGTCTGGGGACACCTTCTTAAAGGGGCACTGTTCACAAAAGTCACAATGTGCCCACAGACTGTTTTTAAAGGGCCATGCACCCCAGGGCCATAATCACAGGGCAAGAGGCTGGCCTCTCCAGGACCAAGTGGCGAAGGTCACTTCGTCACAATTAATACCTATAAAGGCTCAATACAGAAGCTGAAATATTGCTGTACCTTGTTCCTATAATAAAGACTGCCTAACTAGGAGTCTGCCTGGTGTGCCCTGGCTTGTTTTCTTTTACTAGTATAATTGGGGGATTGGCCTTCCCTGCCTGGTGCACCCTCATGGGAATCAACTCTGTTTACATGTGCACCATCCTGTTGGTTTGCTAAATTGTATCAATTCTGTCTGATTGTCATTATAAACATTATCATAGCCCAAACTGAACACATTCATTGGCAGTCTTGTGGTATGTGCAATGAGGGGCTTTCCATGAGTGTGGGTTATCATGACACTGCCATGTAAAAAGGCATGTGTTGTATAGTGGCGCCATAGGATGTTCTCATTTTGTTGAATTCTCATGCTTATTAATAAAAATAACCATTATTTAACCATTAATTGATTTCAATAGATTTCTAGTATGTCCTGAGGTCTTGCTGTTATTAGCCAAGTTAAAGGACCACTATAGTGCCAGGAAAACATACTCGTTTTCCTGGCACTATAGTGCCCTGAGGGTGCCCCCACCCTCAGGGTCCCCCTCCCGCCCGGCTCTGGAAGGGGGAAAGGGGTAAAAACTTACCTTTTCCAGCGCTGGGAGCTCTCCTCTTTTCTCCTGCCTCAGGTTCTCCCCTTTGGCTGAATGCTTGCGTGCGGCAAAGGGCTGCTTGGCGTTCCAGCCCGATATAGGAAAGCATTCCTGATAGCGCCACGTAGACGCTAATTAACTCTCACTGTATGAAATCACGGTGAGGAAGCATCTAGCAAAAGCCTCTAGTGGCT